GCCAGCGAGCTCGTTGGCTGGGTTGAAACTGCTTGCCGTAAGGTGGTTGAATGCGCGACTCGGGCCACCCAACAGCCAGTGTGTTTGTCATGTCCAGGCATATGGAATTCTATTGCCTGTGCTCGGCCTTGGATCCAGGGGCTTGGCTTCGTGTGTGTCGAGTCCGGCTTCCACACCCCGTCCTAATCCCCTGGATGTTTCACTCGAATTCATGTGCTAGGCGTGCGTCTAACTCAGACTCTCTCGCTCCCGAATGGAAATGTATGTATGTATGTATGTATGTATGTATGTATGTATGTATATGTATGTATATATATATGTGTGTGTATATATATATATATTTGATACAAGGACAATGAGGAACACGACTATGCACAAACTATTCTAACTATTGAGGCCTCCGGAGTACAGGCAAAGACCAAAAGTGGTGTCACGCAGCGGGTTTCTGCCAGTGCATATAGATAATACACAAACAGCTCTTCGCAATATGTCCACCAGTCCTCAGAAGTAGGGTCTTAGGATGCGCTCTAAGTTTGCGAGGAGGCGGAGAACGACAGGGGGAACTGTCCGACAGCACATAATGATCTCAGTCTCAGGCCTTAGTACATTTTAGTGTCCAAGGGTATGCACCTCTGGACCAAAACCCATCAACCTTATGACTAGGTCTCCACCAACATATGGGCGGCTGGCAGAAAGATTATCGCTTCGGTGAACCCCGAAATCAGGCGACCGGTGAACTGTAAAATGTGCTATCTAATCTATATAGTTATTTAGGATTTATGGTTCCAGAGAGGTTTGTACGAGTGTTTCTTTCACCCTAAACCCTAAACCCTAAACCCTAAACCCTATGGGCACATCGGGGTCATGACTTTTCGCAAATGGAGCTCAACAGCTGCGAGACACGCCCAAGGTCGTCTGTGACCCCAAATGAATAGGTCAGGACTTTTTGCCTGCCAGACGAGAAAGTCTTCTGATTGCTGGTGGGCTGACCAGCTCCTCCCGTTTCAGCCTGCAGAAAAATACCATTCAAAGACAGGCAGGCGAACTAAGATAACTCTGAGAGGAACATCATGGCAAAGGCTATGGGGCTGATGGCCATGAATGACGTGATAGTGAGAAAGACCATGATGGTCATGTGGATGTTGAGTTGAAGATGGGGACGAGACTGGAGTGGCGAAGATGAGTAAAGTTCATGTTTGGAGGTTGGCGACATAGCCTGCTGCTTGCCAGACCCAGAATTCTGGAAACCCTAAACCCTAAAACCCTAAACCCTAAACCCTAAAACCCTAAACCCTAAACCCTAAAACCCTGAACCCTAAACCATAAACCCTAAGAATCCGAGTCCTGTGCCGGGTGACGGCAGCGAGCCTCGCAGGAGCGGCTCCAGCCACAAATCGTGGCCCGGACAATCGCTTGCCCCAGTACAGAGGGGTCCACCCAACCAAGACGTAATTAGGTTTAGGGTTTAGGGTTTAGGGTTTAGGGTATTAGTCAGACAGCGGCACTTTTAACCCGATATTGTATGGTCACGCTTCCATGGAGAATAGTACTGCCTGTTTCCGCTAGATGCCAGGAGCCCTGCAGGGCTTTCCGGCATGCGCTCAAAGGTCTCGAGCCTATAAGACACCTGCCCAGAAAAGGCAGCTTGGTCAGCCCACCTGTGACAGCCGTGTCACGCAGGGCTGTGTGAATTGGAACTTCTTGCCGTCGCATACTACTTCCAGAAGGAGAAATGGCTTCTGCCACTGACCTTGCTGGACTACACATCGCACCGGGGAAAAGAACATGCAAAAGGCGGTTGAAGAGCTACTGTGATACGTTTCAATACATGCGGGACATGGCTGTTGGACATTCAACTTGCTTCCCGGCACGAAGCTGTGGCATCCTACGTAATCAACCGTGCTGAGCTTGCTCAAGATTCTTCAAACGAAGCTTTTCTGTGCACAAGGGGTTTCGACTCGATGTTGCGGGAGACGGCCGAAGATCCGCACATCTTTGCGGCTGCTTGGGGCATTAGCCCTGGACAGCAGTTCTCGAATCAGAGGACTACTTCCACATTGAGGGTTTAGGGTTTAGGGTTTAGTGTAAAGCCTCATAGCCTGAATCCTTCTTCAGCAGTCTTCCGCTCGAAGGAGCGCGTGCCTGTCGCAGTACAAGGGCACGGCGCCCTTGGGCTCCAATCTATGCCGCCCATGAAAAAGCATTCACCTGCTCGTACAATCATCAGCAATCAGTAAACATGGCCATGAGATCCGGGCCCCTAAACCCTGAGACCCAAATGTGGAGTGCGAATTCATTCCTGTCCGCTCGCTTGAGCACATGGTGCCGGTCTAAAGCCAAGGTTAGCAGTCGTCGAGTAAGGTGTCAAGGTGTACTCAGACTCTACCGATGATAAACCCTGCCTGCCCGATGATCTCCTCAACCAACCAGTTCCTGCTATCCCATCACGTAGATCGACGGGCTACACTACCCAGAAATCGATCCGGAACACAAAGCCAGAATCAGTGTGAAGCCAGAATCAGTGTGGTGACTTGAATTTGCTTTCTTCTCGAGCAGCCGAAGGGTTGCTTGATGGTGCCTACCGGCACCTCCTCAGCGCTAAGCCCCCCTGGTCCTAATCCGGACAACCCGTGAACACACACACACACACATACACTCACCTGCAGATGTGTTTGGTCGTGGAGTTCCCGAATGATATTCTCGGGACTCCTCTGGCGTCACCCCCCTAGCTTGAAGCCGGGGTCTAAATGATTGGGCTGGGTGCACGATGCTGAGTCTGAATGCATTACAACAGGTGACGGTACCGGAGTGTACAGGAGTAGCAGCCCTTGTTAGCACGATGCATCTTCTACCTGGCTTCCTTTTCGGCACGATCCTTCTCAGCCGCTGCTTGTGCAGCTCGGTACTCAGATGCTCGCCAATCCAGCTCCTTAGTTGGTTATAGGCTTTCAGCCAAGTAGGTTATGGCATCATAACAGCAGGTTCATGATTTACGATTTCAGGGTCAGCCTCGTAGTGTAGTCGACAGCAGCAACCAGCAGTATGAAAGTGACCGTGCTATACATCAGGGATGGCACTGAATACAACCATCTCATGTTCACGGAATCAAGCGTGCTGAGCAAAGTTTTGGGATGTAGAAGTCGGCCGAGATTTTATAAAGTCTTGTCATGTCTTGTCGGCATTCCAAGATTGTTTCGGCTGTGCGGCAACATGACCAGCGTTGCTTCAGCAGACTGCTTGGTCACAGCCGCAGAGAAGTTCAACAGCATAGCCACGATCTGGACATGGGTAGTTCTCTAAATTAGGGTCCTTGCTATAAGGGTGCCGTACTATATCGGGGACCCTAAAAGGGACCCTAGTTTAGAGAACTACCCACATGCTAGCTCTCCGAAAGAATTGAGAATTGCTGAGGCCACTGCCCACTCGCGTCGGATCTGTCCTGTGTCTAGGCTGGCTTGCAAATATGAGCAAGGCGGTGGCACGACGCGACAAAACCCTAAACCCTAAACCCTCTAAGCAACAGCACGTCCTAGAGGTCGATAAATTGGTTCAAGGCACTTTACAACACCTGGCACTGCCCCTGTGCTTGTGACGAAATTGACGGAGAACATGTTAAAGCAGGTGAGGGCAAGCAACGTAGAGCAAGAGCACCGCCTCGACTATGACATACCCGGCAAGATCGAGCTAACAGCTTGGAACACCGCTTAAGCCTCATCGTGGGGTAGGCACGACGATCATGGCTTTGATGTCGATGGCGACCAGAACAGGATCGCTGCCAGAGCTACACACAGCCCCAAACCCTTACCCTAAACCCTTTTTCCCCAAGACCTAAACCGTGCAATGTCGGGGCTGGTTCGGTGTTGGTGTCTCCTCAAGCTCGACTCCACAAGAGGAGGTTTCTTGATGCTCACAGCTGGGTTGAGCTCATGCAGTTCAGGGTCTTATAAGGCTCAGGGGCTCTTACAAAAAGTAATATAAAGGTCCTAATACTTGCCTACACTATTTGGGGGGGTTCCTTAGTATAGTTATAGTGTAGTATCAGGCTCAAGGTGCTTGCAAAATGCCTCAGCCAGATCTTACTGCCGTTGCCTGCGATTCTCTGCTTGCTGTCGAACTCATCCACGAGAGTCTTCAGCTTCTCGCCGGCCTGTACAGTGTTTAGGGTTTAGGGTTCAGGGGTTTAGGGGTTTAGGGTTTATATAGGGTTTAGGGTTTAGGGGTTTTTTGTTAAGGGTTTAGGGTGCACAACGTGGGTTCGAGCCCCGAGTGGATGCCCCAGAAACCCCCAAAGCTCTTAATGCTCCAAACAGCATCAACTCAAGTCCTAAGGAAGTGGAGGCTGGTATACATGGGTTGTTCTCTGAAGTTCTGATCCGCAGGGTTTTTTTCATGTGGCGTTTCGAGCTTATGGATCCGGGGTGAGTGTTCCGGAAGCAAAGCCCGAGAGATACATTGCTGGCTCTGGCACCAACCCTATAAACACTAAGCCCTAAACCCTAACCCTAACCCCTAAACCCTAAACCCAAAGCCCTAAACCGAGGGCTTCAAAGCTGTCAGTCGAACTTCGGGTCGAGTGCCGTGGCACATCGTCAGGGCAGCTCCCGAAGTTCGGGGACCCCAATGTTATGGGGGCCTAAAAAAAATTAGGGGGCCTTTAAAAAAAATAAGGTTTTTGGGGGCCCATTATACTATAAATATACTAAGGAAGCCCCAGAATAGTATAGGTAATTCTTCAGGACCCCAATACATACCGCAAAACAGAGGCCCCTACTGCAAGGAAGCTCCGAAGACAGGGGCCATGTTGTCGGAAACCCCCAGCCTAAACCCTAAACCCTAAACCCTAAACCCTAAATCCTAAACCCTAAACCCTAAACCCTCAAGAAAAGATAAATAGAAATTGTATGCCGTGACAGCGCGACTCCTGTTTTGACTGCAGTTTCCTAGG